AATTAATTTCTTTTTACTGTAAATTAATCAACAACAATACAAGTTCACAACAGTTCTGTGTTGCAATTATGATAGAACTAGAAAAATTAGACTAATGAATTCACGACATCTACGGCCATTGATCTTAACCTGGTTTCCACGAGCTGGTATTCTTGTGGAAATCGAAAGCCTAGTTCAAACCAGGAAACAATCGTCGTGTACACGTACATATGCACCATCTTGAGAACTGTTGGTAAAATTTCGATGGAATATAATCAAGAATGAACCGATCAAATCACATAAAATAAATAATCAGTATGTATTTTTGTTTCGATACCCACTATTTTTAGAATCGATACTTCCAGTTGCGATATACAGGGTGTCCCAAAAATGTTCTCCGACCCGGAAATGGGGTACTCGGGGGGTAAATTGAAACAACTTTTTCCTTAGCAACAATGTAATCTGAGGCTTCGTTACCGAGATATTAACCAAAAACCATGACCAATCAGAGCGCAAGTTTGCCAACCAAGTTCCCGCGCTAGCAGTGGCTACGCGCTACGCTTGTACTACGAAGCTCCGAACAAGTAGGTCAGCATGCATCGCATGAAACTGCGTATAATAGCAAATAAAAAAGACGTAACAAATAAAATCACACTTTTTATCATCTGTCGTTTGTTATTTAACGACATTAATGAATGAAACGTAAAAGCAGGCAAATTACATGTAACGTAAAAAGACGAATGCACATTTACTTTTTTGTAAATTCCTTTTTACGAATTTGTAAATCTCCTTTTCAAATAACGTGTGAACGAAAAGGTAATTTAACAGAGAATGAACGAGAAGTGATCGTAATTCGGTTTGGGTATAAAAATTCGTAGTTTAATAACGGGCCACGATGTTACTGATAATGAATAAGTTTCTTCAAAAAGCCCGAAAAAAAATATAGGTACAGAAACTTGCAGAATTATCGCCGGAAATAAGTCATAGCTTGCGTTAAATTAAAAAATAATAATGACTAATAAACTGAATAGAACTCACCCTTGCAGAAATTCACCTGCAGTTTGTAAACCTATGTTACTACATAGGTCACTGGACCGATCCTGGTCATCGACGGCCGAAACGGTTTATGGCAGGGTATCGCCCAATTCGCAGGTGATCGCAGGTATACCTCACCAGCCGAAGTTAAGGGATGTAACGTCAAGTGCGTCCGGGTTATTCCATCAAATATGTATTCACTTCCCCCCACGACCACTAACACTGATCTCCCGACACAATCACTTAATGTATTTTTAATCCAACGTGTTGTTACTACGTTAGGAAAATTCGTGGCCCCCGAAAGGACATATTGTTTTCAATTTTTCAGATGTTTTACAAACACTTGCACAGCAACACCCGCATATCCGTTATTGTGTACGTACCACCATAACATTGCGTAATACTCCCGTGAACTGAACATCTCTGTCGCCCGATTGCTAAGCGACTGACAGAATTTGTCCTCTACCCCCAAGTAGTTTCCCATCGTTACATTGTGAGTTCACTCCCACCACGACAAGATTTAGGTAAAAAGAAACCAACGGTTCTAGGATAACACGTTGTGACGGGGGAAATTTGAAACCGCACAAAAAAAAATGAATAAACTCACTACTAACTTCTCAGTACTATGGTTTACTTGATTTAAGATTGTAGGAACAGCAGTTCCCGAAAATATGTAAAGTTTGTCCGTACTCGTCTCGACACGAATCGAAGTAATTGTCGATCGCACGCAGTATCGCAATTGGGATTTGGAGAGAGATTAGGAGAGAAATAAATGATGATTGTCTGGTTATGGTTAAGACTGAACTGTTTCTTTATTCAGAAGAAGTATCCGGGCATTACACAGTCGCGAAAAGAAGAAACGCTTATCGGAGTGCTGAGTTCGCAAAAGACGCAGCGGTCGAGTGAGAACGCGGAGCTTGTCCAAGGTATTACAACGTGCTTTGCAGAAGTGCAAGGAAAGAACCGTCGTGCAGTTTCACCAAAGCGCGTAGCCCGTTGATTTATTGCCAGGGTACCTACTGCTTGGAGATAGAAAACAGACGTCACGTGCATCGGCTTGAAAATGTCCGAAATAAAGAGGATCACCAACGTGCCCGTTGCGACGAGTTGGAATGTACAATGTACATTGTTTTCCTTGAGGAGCAGAGAAAAAAATTTCACCGACACGTGTGAGTTGACGCTGCTTGGCTCCGTCCGACCACCTTTGTAGAGGCCGGTGCGGACTTTTTCGGTTATTTATGGCTCAATTTCTTCGACCTCGTAGCAACTGTGAACTCACAACAGAATTGACAATCGCCAATTTTTTTACAACTCTCTGAAATTGTAGTTCTCATGAAAATATTTCATACGTATTTTTTTTTAGTATTCCGACAAATATCTCGGAAATTATTAGAAATATAAAAACCGTATTCGTTAAACTCTTTTCCTTCGGTAGTATTTATTTCCTCTTTCTTGGGTAGTATTTTTTTTGGATTTACCTGCACCGTGCACTGTCAGGAGTCGGCGAAAGATTGTTTAAAGAAACGGATTATTCTGGAATTTAATGATATAGCTACATTCAATATCAAAACAAATACAATATTGCAAATTATATGGTTTTTATATATCTAATAATTTCCGAGATATTTGACGGACAATTTCACAGAGTTGTAATAAAATTGCCGATTGTCAATTCTGTTGTGAGTTCACGGTTGTTACGAGGCCGAAGATTTTGAGCCATAAATAACCGAAAATTCCGCTCCGGCCTCTACAAGGGTGGTAGGCCAGGGCCAAGCGGCGTCAACTTACACGTGTCGGTAAAATTTTTTCCCTGCTCCTCGAGGAAAACAATGTACATTGTACTTTCCAACTCGAAGCAACGGGCACGTTGGTGGTCCTTTTGATTTCGGACATTCTCAAGCCGATGCACGTGATGTCTGTTTCCTATCTTGAAGCAGTAGGTACCCTGGCAATAAATTAACGGAGTACGCGCCATGGTGAAACTGCGCGACGGTACTTTCCTTCCACTTCTGCAAAGCACGTGTTATCCTAGAACCGTTGCTTTCTTTTTACCTAAATCTTGTCGCGGTGGGAGTGAACTCACAATGTAACGATGGGAAACTACTTGGGGGTAGAGGAAGCCCTTTTGGAAAAATTCTGGCAGTCGGTTAGCAATCGGGCGACAGAAACGTTCAGTTCACGGGAGTATTACGCAATGTTATGGTGGTACGTACACAATAACGGATATGCGGGTGTTGCTGTGCAAGTGTTTGTAAAACATCTGAAAAATTGAAAACAATATGTCCTTTCGGGGGCCACGAATTTTCCTAACGTAGTAACAACACGTTGGATTAAAAATACATTAATTGATCGTGTCGGGTGATCAGTGTTAGCGGTCGTGCAGTGAAGTGGCTACGTATTCGGTGGAACAACCCGGACGCATTTGACGTTACAACCCTTAACTTCGGCTGGTGAGGTATACCTGCGATCACCTGCGAACTGGGCGATACCCTGCCATAAACCGTTTCGATCGTCGATGACCAGGATCGATACAGTGACCTACTGACACAGGTCTGCAAGCTGCAGGTGAATTTCCGAAAGGGTGAATTCTATTCAATTTATTCTTGATTATTATTTTTTTAATTTCATGCAAGCTACATATGACTTTTTCCCGGCAATAATTCTGCAGGTTTCCGTACCTACATTTTTCTTCGGGCTTCTTAAAAATTCTGTTTAGAAAAATAATTGTGTATTCGTCTTTTTGCGTTACACATGATTTTTTTACATCTATGTTTCATTCATTCATTACTTTAAATGACAAACGAAAGACGATAAAATGTTCGATTTGGTATGTTTTTCTTATTTGCTATTATACGCGGTTTCCTGGTATGCATGCCGACATGCTTGGAGAGTTTCATAGTACAAGCGTAGCGCGGGAACTCGGCTGGCAAACTCGCGCTCTGATTGGTCGGAGTTTTTCGTTAATATCTCGTTAACAAAGCCGCAGATAATATTTTCGCTAAAGAAAAAGTGGTTTCAAATCATCCCAACAACCCCTCATTTCTTGAAGAGAGACATTTTTGAGACCCTTGTATGTATGTATACTCGGTATCGAAAAAAAATACTCGTATCAAAAGGAGCGAGTAACCGATATGAAAGCTAATGAATGTATAGGTGATTGTCGTCCAGTTATATGACTTTGTCAATAAATGTCCATTAATAAAATATGTCTCTGTTAATAGATGTTCATTAATAAAATGTGTCTTCGTTAAAATTAGAGATAGGTAAATTCATTATCTTGAATGTCTAGAAAGTTTATAAAAAAATAATAGTTCTTCCTGAATGAGTTTACATTCGGCAACAAAATTATTCAATCTCATTTTACTGTTCAAATCTCAGGGCGACGCAACTTATTACTGCAGCTTTTCACTATGTATTATTCGAATAAAATTCTGCTAAACTCTGGTTAAAATATATTATATTAATAAAAAAGAGCTTTGTATTCATTTTCCTTCGATACAAGTAGTTATCGATACTTGTTTTCAATACGAGTTATAAATAAAAGTATCGATACCTTGACTGTATCGATTTATCCCTAAACACAATTCGGCGTGGGCTTGATCGCTAGTCGATCCATTGTTCGGAGGCTAATCTGTTGTTTATTTCCACTGTATATACTAATTCCAAACAAAATTAAGTTGGACATAAAGAATAGAGGAATAATAAGAATAAACCGAGCCGTGAATAATTCATTAATGGAAAGAACTGATATTTCAGGGGACCAAGGTCTCATCGTCGAAAGTATGCGACTCCACGTATTTAGTATAATATTATCATTCATATTCAGTTGAATAGTTTGATATCTCCAAGGTATATACTAATTCTAAACAAAATTAAATTTGATGTTAAGAATAGAGGAATAGTAAAAATAAACCGAGACGTGAATACATAATTCACTAATGGAAAGATCTGATATTTCAGGGGACCAAGGTGTCATCGACGGAAGTATGCGACTCCACGTCTTTAGTATAATAATATTCGTAAGCGTGCTAGTCGTGAGGAAAACTTCATCCCATGGAAGACTGATAGAACCGCCCTCGAGGGCCTCGATGTGGAGATACGGATTCGATACACCGCACGATTACAACGATCACGAATGCTACTGCGGCGGGTTTACCAGGCAATGGCAGCGAAATAAAGGGAACTGCGGGATCTGCGGTGACGCTTGGGACACGCCAACGGTAAGATGGAAACTTTTAACGAAATTGTCGCACACCGATTTGCACATGTGTATATACAGGGTTAGCCAGTAAGACTTAGTATCTAAAGTAAGTAATTACCTATTAGTTGTATCGAAAAACATTTTAATGAATTAGATAGAAATTTAACGGACGCCACGGATAAATACGATTTGATTTCTTTGTCTTATTTTTTTTTAAAATCAATGTGACCTTGCGGTCTTTTCAAGGCAAATGCATCTTTTTTTTAATACCATCATGCTATAAGTAGTGATGGAACACCAAGCCGGATTCAAGTCAATCAAGTCAGATGACGTCACGGGGCGTCGGCTCGCGGCGACGGTATCTATGTAATCCCTATAAGCCTTCGGCGACCGACGCTCGGGTTACAATCTAGCACACAGAACGAATCACCCATGAATAAAAATTTAAACTTTTACTCCTTTCAGTGTATGTACTTTCTTAAAAATGTTACAAATAAATGTAGAAGATTCTGATGAAAGTAAGTCCAAACACGACATAAATCAGACTATATTTAATAACATACAATTCGTATCGCGACATAACATACGAATAAAAATTGTTTTCGCTGCATTTCCTCATTCAAAGCCACGCAAAATTTTTAAAAAACATTGCACATGTTGCAAATACCGGAGCACCTATTACAGAATTTTCTCCAATTTTTCGGTTGAAAATTCTAGGTGCAAAAAATTAAGAACCCTAAAAAATTATAACAAATGCGAATTTCTTAAGAAAATTAATTATAATTAAACATGGTAAAGCACATACAGTAACATTGTAAACCAATATATTGTAAAAAGCATAACATAATATGCAGCCATGCCGTGTATTAATACATTAATCACTAAGACATAAACATTAGAAAATTATTTTAATTCAAGCATATTCCAAGGATAATATAAGAAGCAAAGATAAAAAATTAATTAATACTAAATACGGTACAGAAGCAAGTGTACAGTATAAATGCATAAAATAATATAATGCTATCTAACATTAAGACATAAACTTAATGCAACCATTTTAATCGGGCAATACAACATGACCAATTCCATACACATTTGATAGAAATGAATTGGAAATCGATAAGCCGCTTATTGAACTACTAGCTTTTTACTCGCGATTTCGCTAGCGTAGGTTTCGAGATTTGGTAAACTTTTTTTTAAACAAAATTATAATTAAAAAAGTATATAAGACTCCTTCTTTTATGTACACAGATTGAACATTATTCAAAACATTAGTAGTGAATAAGTCCAAATACTTTATTTAACTGTGGTTAAAATACAAAATTGCATTACATAATTACATAAATCAATATATGATACGAATTGTATATTATTAAATATAGTCTGATTTATGTCGTGTTTGGACTTACTTTCATCAGAATCTTCTACATTTATTCGTAACATTTTTAAGAAAGTACATACACTGAAAGGAGTAAAAGTTTAGATGTTTATTCATGGGTGATTCGTTCTGTGTGCTAGATTGTAACCCGAGCGTCGGTCGCCGAAGGCTTATAGGGATTACATAGATACCGTCGCCGCGAGCCGACGCCCCGTGACGTCATCTGACTTGATCGACTTGAATCCGGCTTGGTGTTCCATCACTAGGTACGGGTACGCACACCAATGTGCAAGACCCCACCGTTCACGTCCAAGTGGCAGAGTAGTGGTAGATTCATATCTCTAGGTGTAACACTACACAATCAAATCGCTGTGAATTCATTAACAATTTTTCCTGACCGAACGGTTCATTTACGACATATGGTTCCTCATAAACTTTTTCTCTTCGCAGAATACGCTAACGTAAGAGAAAATGTTAACATTGATTTTTATTGTTATATATTGGGTCGTTCGTTAAGTAATGTCGTATACTTTGTGTTTACATTTTCGTTGTGATGACGTAGCTCTGTCGTGTGTGTTAGTCGCGATTCTACCTGCGTTGAATGCAGACATATACTGTTTCAAAGTGTTATAGTTTCAACTGTCAAAAAATTGTTTTAAATAATTCAACACAGTGAAATGGATAAGAGCGAAGAACATTTATGTCATTGTTTACTTTACCAATATCAAAAAGGCCATAATGCGACAAAAGCAACTGAAACCTTGTGTAATGTGTTCGGTAATAAAACAATAAACGTAAGAAAAGCCCTAAGATGGTATTCAAAATTTCATACAGGTAATTTTACAGGCAGTAAAAAACGATATACAAGTATTCATAGACTCAAAACAAGAAGACTTTTTACGAATGCGAATTGAAAATTTACCCTCAAGGTGACAAAAAGTTATAAATCACGGTGGACATTACATTTTCTAATAAAGTGAAATCATACATGTAGTTTTCATAATAAAACAGATGTTCAAAAATACGACATTACTTATCGAACGACCCAATATAAACAATTTTTCGGCAAATTTTTTCACAAACATCTATCGATCCAAGGGTGTAGATTCACCCCTTGAAACCATAACCATTCATTTTTTTACACCCTGTACCTGCATCTATTCTACATAACAAACAATTTAGATGGATATGGCTTTGTGACACTTATTTAGAGAAGCAAGACAGCCAACAGAACGAGAGCATATCGTCAATTAAACAGTAAAAGAAGAATAAAAATGAAGAAAGGAAAAAAATCGGGGCAAATCTTATTATAATAATAACCAATACATAGGTAAATGTCTCTGTGACGGTACAAATCAGATTATTTCTAGCACTGTAGGTAATTAAATAGAAATGTAATATTTCTAACGTAATAATGTTAAAAATAATCCAATTTATACCGTGTTTAGATTTATTTTCATCTGAAAAATCTTAGCGGTATGTTACTACAACGTTCATGTTGATCAGATTTGAAAGCCGAAAGTATTCCACACTATTAATACATAATCTATAATCTATAATCTATAGCAAGCAATAATGTATCACTCTTGAACCGACGCTTAAGACGTCAGACGCAATCGCCGATACGAATAACAGTACAAATAAAGATGAAAACTTTATTTGACGGCTCGAATAAATGCCGTTCGAATAAAAAAATTATTAGAAAAATATTTTTCAGCGGCTCTATTGAATACTTAAGGCATCCCTACATAGAGCACTAAGAACTATTTAATCTTGTTAATATTTCATTAAAAATTTCCTGTTGTGACTAATTCCATACTGTATAATATATTGATGTAACTGTTTCTAATCTTATTGTCATTAATTGTTATA